TATTATTATTATTATTATTATTATTATTATTATTATTTTGAGACAGAGTCTCACTGTGTCACCCAGGCTGGAGTGCAGTGGCATGATTTCTGCTCACTGCAACCTCTGCCTCCAGGGTTCAAGCGATTCCTCCCTCAATCTCCCGGGTAGCTGGGACTACCACCACGCCCGGCTAATTTTTGTATTTTTTTGTAGAGACGGGATTTCACCTTGTTGGCCAGGCTAGTTTTGAACTCCTGACCTCAAATGATCCACCCACCTTGGCCTCCCAAACTGCTGGGATTACAGGTGTGAACAACCGCACCCGGCCTAAACTATTTTCCTTTCATCCATAGTTCTTTCAACTTCTCATAGTTTTTTGTTTTAGAGACAGGGTCTGGCTATGTCACCCAGACTGGAGTGCAGTGACGTGATCTTGGCTCACTGCAACCTCCACTTCCCAGGTTCAAGCAATTCTTCCGCCTCAGCCTCCTGAGTAGCTGGGATTACTGGCATGAGCCACCACGCCCGGCTAATTTTTGTATTTTTACTAGAGACAGGGTTTTGCCATGTTGGCCAGGCTGGTGTGGAACTCCTGGACTCAAGGGATCCACCCACATCAGCCTCCCAAAGTGCTGAAATTACAGGTGCGAGCCACAGTACCCAGCACGTCCATGAATGACCTTCCAGTCTCAGCCTCTGGGTAGCTAGGGCTGCAGGCGCATATCACCATGCCTGGCTTTCTCATGGTGTTTTTTTCTTTGCTATTTAATGTTTAAATGTTTTTTGTTCGTTTGTTTGTTTGTTTTTCAGACTCCCTCTGTCGCCCAGGCTGGAGTGCAATGGTGCGATCTTGGCTCACTGCAACCAAAATAGAATTATTTTTCTTTTTTCTTTCTTTTGAGATAGTCTCTTGCTCTGTCACCTAGGCTGGAGTGCAGTGGCGTGATCATAGCGATCCAATCCTCCCAGCTCAGCCTCCTAAGTAGCTGGGACTAGTGGTGGCTACTAGTCTAACCTGGCTAAAATGCCTGACTAATTTTTAAATAAGTTTTTTGTAGAGATGGGGTCTCGCCAGATGGGGTCAAGCCCAAGGCTGGTCTTGAACTCCTGGGCTCAAGGGATGCTCCCGCCTGGGTCTCTCAAAGTGCTGGGATTACAGGCAGGGGCCATTGTTATTGAGGTTCCTTGCAGAGGGAGCCTTTCCATGTTCATGTCCAATTTAGCAGTTGGCCACACTCAGTCTCACGTATTCAGTTGTAGACATAACATGCTTACCTTGTACTCATTTGGAATCTGGCTGAACTCCCACACGTTGTAGGTCCCCCAGAATTCTGTGCTCGTGGTGCATCTGGAACGCTGTGTGAATGGGACGTATCTCCTCTGCTCACAGGCATGCGCCAATGCTCCACTGTATGTCACTTACAAAGCACAAATTCAAAGATAGAACTATGAAGAATTTCAAGACAGCGATGGCATTCAGCTCCATAAATGTTTGGCGGGGAAAGAAAAGCAATAGCATAGTTTTATTTATTTTTCATTTATTTATTTATTTTTTGAGACGGAATCTTGCTCTGTTGCCCAGGCTGGAGTGCAGTGGCGCCATCTCAGCTCACTGCAAGCTCCGCCTCCTGGGTTCAAACCATTCTCCTGCCTCAGCCTCCCCAGTAGCTGGGACTACAGGCGCCCACCACCGCGACCGGCTAATTTTTTTTTTTGTATTTTTAGTAGATGCGGGGTTTCACCATGTTAGCCAGTATGGTCTCGATCTCCTGACCTCGTGATCCGCCCGTCTCGGCCTCCCAAAGTGCTGGGATTACAGGCGTGAGCCACTGCGCCCGGCCAATAGCAGAGTTTTAAACCAAACTACTATGAGCATGGGCCTTGCATGACTGTGCAGGTCCCATGTCAGGAAGCTGGCCTTGGACTGGAGGGAGTGGGTTTGAGGACGTGGATGACAGTTTGAATGTGAGGTGTTGAGAACTTGGGCTAAGGATTTAAGGTAACAGTTGAAAGGAGAAGAAAAACCTCTCCCAAGATTTGAAGAAAGATTAAAAGAGGTGGAGATAATGATTCTTTTTCTTTTTTCTTGAGACAGAATCTTGCTCTGTTGCCCAGGCTGGAGCACAATGATGCAATCTTGGCTCACTGCAACCTCCGCCTCCTGGGTTCAAGCGATTCTCCTGCCTCAGCCTTCTGAGTAGCTGGGGTTACAGGCTCCCACCACTGTATTCGGCTAATTTTTGTAGTTTTAGTAGAGACGTAGTTTCACCATGTTGGCCAGGCTGGTCTTGAACTCCTGAGCTCTGGTCTGGAACTCCTTTGCTTAGGTGATCCGCCAGCCTCAGCCTCCCACAGAGCTGGGATTACAGTCATGAGCCACTGGGCGTGGTCAAGATAATGATTTTCTTTTTTTTTCTTTTTTGAGATGAAGTCTTACTCTATTGCCCAGGCTGGAGTGCACTGGTGCGATCTTGGCTCACTGCAACCTCCACCTCCCGGGTTCAAGCTATTCTGCCTCAGCCTCCTGAGTAGCTGGGATTGCAGGTGCACACCACCACACTCTGCTAATTTTGCTTTTTTTTTTTTTTTTTTTTGAGACAGAGTCTCATTCTGTTGCCTAGGCTGGAGTGCAGTGGTGCAATCTCGGCTCACTGCAAGCTCAGCCTCCCGGGTTCACGCAATTGTCCTGCCTCAGCCTCCCAAGCAGCTGGGACCACAGGTGCCCACCACCATGCCCGGCTAATTTTTTTGTATTTTTAGTAGGGACAAGGGTTTCACCACGTTAGCTAGGATGGTCTCGATCTCCTGACCTCGTGATCCACCTGCCTCGGCCTCCCAAAGTGCTGGGATTACAGGCATGAGCCACCGCGCCCTGCCTAATTTTGCATTTTTAAGTAGAGATAGGGTTTCACCATGTGGGCAAGGCTAGTCTTGAACTCCTGACCTCATGATCTGCCCGCCTTGGCCTCCCAAAGTGCTGAGATTACAGGCATAAGCCACTGTGCCCGGCCTGAGATAATGATTCTTAGCATGTGGTATTTAGAGGCAAGTGTACTCCCCTCCTAGACTGTGAGCCCCGTGAGAGTGTAACCTCTCTGGCCTCCCCAGGGCTACAGTACACAGTCTATAGAGGTGCTCAATAAATGTTTGCTGACCCAAGTAGACATATAAGGATGGGAGTTCAGACGTCGGGGTGGGGCTGCCAGGAGGCAGAGAACAGAAGTAGACCTGGCTGCAGGGCTGGGGTCTCAGGGCAGTGCTGGGGACTGGGAATGTGGTGTTGAGAGGGCTTCAGGGAGACGTGATGGGAAGGTGGGGAAGCCTCTACACGCGGACAGAGCCAGGTGGTGTGGACAGGGGCTGTGAGATTGGAGAAGGAGGCATCTGGGGGACTGGTAGCGGTTCCCAACAGGGGAACGTCCCTCTGAGGGTGGCCTTTATCCATCTCTGCGTGGCCTGTCCTAGCTTCCCTCGGCCAGCCTCGCGGCTGGTCTCTTCGTTCTCTTTCTTGATCTCTAGCTCTTTATTCCTCTGACATTCTGCCCCATCTGCTCCTGGACTCTTCCACCGCATGTATATCTTACTCTCTTTCTAACTCCCTGCCTGGGGCCCCCACCTTTGAGCATATATCATCAGCTTCTTTCTCTGTCGTTGCGTTTCTCTGGGGTTATCTTTCCCTCTACTCCGCCCGGACACGCCCTCTATCTCTTCCTCCCACCCTGTCCCAGTCCAGTACTTGGGGTGGGGGTAATGGAGAGACCGCCAGGTCCCTTAGAAGAGGCAGGGGGGCGGGCCCAACCTCTCCATATTTACATATGTATGAGGTCGCCTGGGCCAGTGGCAAGGAGGCGGAGCTTCTGGGGGTGGGAAGGGGGCGGGCACCCCCAGAGCCGCAGAGTATAAAGACCGCGCTCGGCGACCGCGGGCCCCGCACTGCTGAGGAGCGGAGCCTCCGCTTGGGGGGCCCCCCATCCCTGGCTGTCCCCCAACTGCGCGTCCCCGCCCCACCCCCGCGGCTGAGCCACCACTGGTGCAGTGGTCTCCGCTTGGCGGAGGGAGCCTTGAGCTTCGTTCCACAGCTTCTTTGCATCTTGAATTTCGGGGCGGCCCCCTCCCCCACCTCTCCCTGCCTTTTTGTACCCCGCTTTTTTTCTGCATTCTGCTCGGCTTTTGTAGCCGTCTGCTTTTGCACCCCTTTTCGTTTTGTTTCTAGACGGTTTGGCGAGGGTGAAGCTGCGTTCATACCCCTTCCTCTTGTTATTCTCTCCTGCTCTGACAGCACCCCTTTTCATCGCAGTTGGGGGGCCTAGGATCGGTGCATCTTCCGCCGCGCTGCCAGCACCCCGCAGCGCGTGGCCGTGCACCCCGGAATCTGCAGCAGCTGCATATCTGAGGGGGGTCTCCTTTGCCTCCGGCGCCTTTGCTCCCCGCGCTTTTGGTTGTGTGGAGGGCTTCAGCGCGCGGCGCCCCCGCTTCTCCGCAGCCCCCTGCCCCGCGCCCGGACTAGACCCGCGCCGCCAAGATGGTCATCCAGAAAGAGAAGAAGAGCTGCGGGCAGGTGGTTGAGGAGTGGAAGGAGTTCGTGTGGAACCCGAGGACGCACCAGTTTATGGGCCGCACCGGGACCAGCTGGGGTACGCAGGGCCGGCAGCAACGGGCGGGGGAGAGCCGCGGGGTGACGCCTCGGGGGCGCAGGGTCCTGCCGATGCGGCCCCAGCTCCCTTCCCGGGTCCCCGGCGTCAAGCCTCCCTGCCGGGCTCTGGGCTGGGAGGGGGCCGAATCGCCAGCCTAATCTCCCCGGCTGGCCGTGCGGAGGCGGAGAAAGTAGGTCACAGCCGCCTTCCCGCCCCCCGCGGAGCCCCCTCGGGCGGGGGGTCGCCAGCTCTGCCTGCGTGTCCGCGCCGTGGCGCTCACACTCCCTCTCGGGGCCTGTCCGTTCCACACGGGCGTCCCCCACCTCCAAAGAGCGCCCCTTCCCTCCCTCCGTCTCTCACTAGCTCGGCAGCCCCGTCTATTTTTAGCTCGTGCCCACCCCCTGGACCCTGGGAACGTTCATGAAGGGGCGGGTCTTGAGGGGGTGTGTTAGGGGGGTTCTTCACGGCGGAAGTTGTATCCCACCGCCTGGCCTTGGGAGCCTTCTCTGACTGCTTTGTGGGTTGGGGGGCTGCTGAGAGTATGAGTTTTTCCGAGGCTGCAGGTTTTGCTCCCATGTAGGTGGCGGAGGGAGGAGTGGTCACTGTGGTGATTTGTGTGCATCAGCCAGCCAGGTGTCTGTGACAGTCGGATGACTTGGGAGCCTCCCCAGGCTGACCATGGCAGGACTCAGGGAGTTGTAGTAGTTGTGGGGGGGGGGGTCTGGTGACCTGCACAGGTGCAGGTGAGGGGTGGAATTCTTCCAAGAGGGATGGTCAAGCTGGGATGTTGCGACACAGGGGACACTGTGTGACACGGTTTACAATTTTTCCACACTGATTTGTCACTGTCCCCATCCGTCCACCCACTCAGGAGCCCACGAGGTGGGTCCCATGCCATCCATGCCCTCAGGGAACTCAAACTCCAGCCCCTGGAATGAAAGGATCCAGCAATGCTTGGGAGAGCCAGAGGACTTCATGGAAGAAGTGTCTTCTGAGATGGAAGGATTGGGAGTCCAGGGTGGTGGGAACAGCCGGCCCCTGGGCCCTTACTTCAGGCAGGGGAGCCATGGAGAAACCCCACCAAGGGAAGGCTGTGGGAGATTCTGCCTTTCCTCCTTGCCTCTGCCCAGGGTGCTGGGTGTGAGCTGAGGGTGGGGTGACTGTGGAAGGTTCTAACAAGCTGTCTCTGAGAGATTTGTAGCTAGGCTAGGGTGTTAGGTCTTGCATTTCAGGAACTGTGTTCAAAGTCTGGCTTCTGAAGGGCACCAGGAGAGAGATTTTGCTATTCAAATCTGAGGGTCCAGGCTCTGCGGGGTGGCATGAGAGTTTGCTTGTGAATGGTGGCCAGTACCCGCTTAAAAAGTCACCATGCTAGCACAGCTTTAAGCATGAGTATGAGTGCAGAGGTAACAGATGTGTGCCTTTTCAGGACTAAGCATGGTTGAGAAGTTGGAAATGTAATTGGAGGCAAAGTAACAGCAGCCTATACTTGGAGTTGCCCCAGCAACAAGAGTTTAGGTCTCTGTGGCCTCCACAAGGTCGGGCTTCACTGTGCCCTAGGACCGGGAGGGGGTTGGGAGTCATGGCTGGAAACCAGACACAACTGCCTGCTTCCAGCTTGTCTCATTTTGCTCCCAGGGGAAGGCTCTAAGACATCCCTGTGGCTCTGTGACCAGTCCCAGTGCAGAACTTCAGAGTGGGTAGAGGGGTGTGTGGGGATAGGTGAGGTGATGGTGGGAATGTTAGGCCCTGCTGACCCTGTTTCCTCCTCCCTAGCCTTTATCCTCCTCTTCTACCTCGTTTTTTATGGATTCCTCACCGCCATGTTCACCCTCACCATGTGGGTGATGCTGCAGACTGTCTCCGACCATACCCCCAAGTACCAGGACCGACTGGCTACACCGGGTGAGTGTCGCGGCTCCCCCTGCCAGCTACTCTAACTGCTCTTGTGCCCCCAAACCTCCAGAAGGAACTCATAGTTCCTTCCGGGAGTTTAATTCTGATGACCCAATCCCCATGTTCTGGGAAGTTCTTCTTGGAATCTGTCCACCTTCCCATTTCCTGCAGTTGGGAGCTGTGTGATTTGGGCATGTGGCAGATAACCACGGGAGATCTCCCTCCCGTGAAGACGATCTCAGATATTCACCGCTGTCCCCACCCTGGTGTTCCCTGTGTCCATTTTCTTCCCTCTGTGTGCAGCCCCTCATCTTATAGATACCCCCAACTTCTGCCTTTGTCGGCTGTAGGCTTGATGATTCGTCCCAAGACTGAGAACCTTGATGTCATTGTCAATGTCAGTGACACTGAAAGCTGGGACCAGCATGTTCAGAAGCTCAACAAGTTCTTGGAGCGTGAGTGTGGGCCTGGCTATGTGGCAGTTCACGACTTCAGGCAGGGGACTGGGGACCTTGGAAGTGGAGCATCTGGCCCCTGACTCTCTCCCTCCCACCTCCTTAGCTTACAACGACTCTATCCAAGCCCAAAAGAATGATGTCTGCCGCCCTGGGCGCTATTACGAACAGCCTGATAATGGAGTCCTCAACTACCCCAAACGTGCCTGCCAATTCAACCGGACCCAGCTGGGCAACTGCTCCGGCATCGGAGACCCCACCCACTATGGTTACAGCACTGGGCAGCCCTGTGTCTTCATCAAGATGAACCGGGTACCTATGACCTTGGTCCCCAGGGTGAATGGAGGAAGGATCTGGGGACACCACCTGCAGACAGTTGCATCCTTTCACTGGGGCTAATGGGCATGAGAGAGGCTTGGATGTTTGTGTAGCTGAGAGGAAAAGAGAGGCGGGGCTCTTGGAGGCTAAGCTCTGTAGCTAGAAGGCTGGATGCCTTTTTTTTTTTTTTTTTTTTTTTAAAGACAGGGTCTCGCTATGTTGCCAAGACTGGCCTTGAACTCCTGAAATTAAGCTATACTGCGCCTCAACCTCCCTAGTAGTTGGGACTACAGTCCGTGGCTTAGCTTGGTCTGGATGCCCATCTTTGACAACTTCTTTCTCTGACTCTCTTCACCTTCCATCCTCACTTCAGGTCATCAACTTCTATGCAGGAGCAAACCAGAGCATGAATGTTACCTGTGCTGGGAAGGTGAGTTCGTTGGGCCTTCTCTGCCTGCTCACCTGTGTGTCCTTCATGGTTTCTGTGTAATTCACCTGACTCTCCCTATCTTCTTTGCTCCTAGAGGCCCCATCAACATAGAAACAAGGGGGTAAGAGTGGGCTTGTGGGCTCCACCGTAGCTTGAACTCCGAGGGCCTCGCACTCCTCTAGCTTCTCTCTAGGATGCAGAGGCCTGCTCTCCTACGGGCAGACACACGCCCTCCTTCACCAACACCCTGGCCTCTGGCTTCTCTCCCTAACGCTTCCACCTTCTCCTTTATTCCCGGATTGTCCATATCTTTCGCTCTCCCTCCCATATGGCCCCCACCCGTCAGTTCCTTCTAGGTATCTGGTAGCTGCTGATCTGTTAGCACCATCTGCCACCACTTCGTTGTCCTTGGGACCCTGTTCCCCCCTACCCACCCCCCGGTCTGTCCTTTCTAGAAACTTGCTGCTCCCTCCACATCCCCTTCCTTGCTTTCTATTCAACCCTTAATCATGTATCTGTTCTTTCTTGGCTCTGCTCCAGAAACTGATTCCTGAGGATGGGGTAAGAACTTGGGGTAGGAGTAGAGTAGGAGGCTTTCGTGTCATTAGCAGCCTTCAGGAGTTCCTAGAATGATGACAGAGACAGACCATCCCCTCATCTACACACGCAGACACACTCACACAGACTCACAGCTCCAGGGAGGCAAACTTGAGACAGGAATAATCGGGGGCGAAGGAAGAACAAAAGAACAAGTGGAAGTCTGGTGAGCTCCTGGGTGCCTGCCATCCCTAACTGGCTCACGCCCTATCTTCCTGCACCCCCACAGCGAGATGAAGATGCTGAGAATCTCGGCAACTTCGTCATGTTCCCTGCCAACGGTAACATCGACCTCATGTACTTCCCCTACTATGGCAAGAAGTTCCACGTAAGTCCCGGGGAGGCCCAGGCTGATGGCGGGTGCGGGTGGTGAGCTAGGGAAGGAGGCCGCATCGCCCCAGGCCTAGACCCTGCACTGCTCCTCCGGCCCAGGTGAACTACACACAGCCCCTGGTGGCCGTGAAGTTCCTGAATGTGACCCCCAATGTGGAGGTGAATGTAGAATGCCGCATCAACGCCGCCAACATCGCCACAGATGATGAGCGAGACAAGTTCGCCGGCCGTGTGGCCTTCAAACTCCGCATCAACAAAACCTGAGGCCCCTTCCTCCCACCCCGTCTCTCTCCTGTGGATGCTCCTGGAATGTCCCTGACCCTGCCTGATCCCTCCCTCACCCACCCCAAAGGTATTTTTGATAACAGAGCTATGACTTGTCTGAGCCTCACACCCTTTTCCTTGACTTCTCAACCCAGCCTGAAGTCCATTGCGCTTCCCCGTCACTCACATTTCCAACCAACTTCTCCCAACCTCAGATCAGTGAGAGGGAGCTGGGCTAAGATGGCCACAGAGGAGTTAGGAGGCTCTCTAGTTCTGGTTTAGCTGTGAGAGCTATCCACTCTCCTGCCTGCATATCCCCTGAGAGTTATAGGAAGTGCTCACTGACCCACCCACCCAGCTACATACCCCCACCCCCCACACACATACAAACGTGCACACGTGTCTCATTTCACCCCTTTGCTTCCAGAGATGAATGTGGCACTCCGTCCTTCCATTCCTAAGCTCTAGCCACTGGTCCTTGATCTCTCACACTTTCTCCCTGTCTACACAGTCGCCATCTTGGTGACTTTGAACTTATCTGGCTCCTGGGCAGGTGTTCTCCTCCTCTCCATCCCTATTCTCTCCTCTGAAATGCACCTTTTTGTAATTGAGGACAAGGTGGTTCTGTGGCCTTTTCCCTCTTTCCTGGCACATTCTGCTTCTCACCCTCTGGTGACTCTGTGAGCTGGGAAATGAGGGACTGGAAGCGAGGCCTGCGTTGGCCCTTCCTGAAAATCCTCTGGCAACCCCCGACTTCAGCAGTTTCTCTCTTTCTTTCTTTCTTTCTTTCTTTCTTTCTTTCTTTCTTTCTTTCTTTCTTTCTTTCTTCCTTCCTTCCTTCCTTCCTTCCTTCCTTCCTTCCTTCCTTCCTTCCTTCCTTCCTTCCTCTTTCTTTCTTTCTTTCCCTTCCTTCCTTCCTTTCTTCCTTCCTTTCTTTCTTTTTCTTTTTCTCTTTCTCTCTCTCTCTCTCCTTCCTTCCTTCCTTCATTCCTTCCTTCCTTCCTTCCCTCCCTCTCTTCCCGTTTCTCTCCCCTCCCTCCCTCCCTCCCTCCCTCTCTCCCTCCCTCCCTTCCTTCCTTCCTTCCTTCCCTCTTGTTGCCCAGGCTAGAGTGAAATGGCACAATCTCAGCTCACCGCAACCTCCGCATCCTGGGTTTAAGCAAGCTATTCTCCCGCTTCAACCTCCCGAGTAGCTGGGATTACAGGCATGCGCCACCACGCCCAACTAATTTTTATTTTTATTTTTTATTTTTTTTGTATTTTTTAGTAGAGACAGGGTTTCTCCATGTTGGTCAGGCTGGTCTTGAACTCCCGACCTCAGGTGATCCGCCCGCCTCGGCCTCCCAAAGTGTTGGGATTACAGGCGTGAGCTACCGCATCTGGCCTTCAGTTTCTTCCTAGGCCCTTCTATCACCCAAATAGCTGCTCCCCAGAGGGGCGGGGTTGACCTAGGCTGAATATCCACTTTGTTTTTACGGATGGCTCCCTTCCCCCATTCGCCTTCCCAGAATATCCTTCAAGTTCCACTTCCCAGGGAGCTCTGGGGGAGGGGCGGCCATTCTGGCTCTGTCCCCAGTGGCCACCTTGGAAACATCGGCTGGCTTTGGGACTATTCCACCTCCTTCCCCTGAGCCCAGATCTGCCCCCACCATCCTCTCTCTGGCTTCTCTTAGCAAGTTATCAACTAATCACTAACTCCTTCCCTTTCCTCCGCATGCTGGCCTGAAAGTTCCAAATCTAGCCTTTGAATGTCTTGGCTCCATCTCCTTCAGACCCCTTTGCCTTTAAAAAAAACAAAAACAAAAACAAAAAACCCATAATGCCCATAGAATGTCAGATGAGGGGCCTCCTGCCTCCTGCTCTGAATATTCTGTAGCTGTAGAGGCATTTTAACCCTTTGTCCTCCAGCAGCTCTTCACTTCCTCATCCTCGCTAACCTTTTTCTTTTTTTAATGCCGCAGCCTCCACACTCCACCCACTGGTGGACCCTTCCCTTTTTCTCTAGCTGGATCTGTGTTTCTTCCCTTCGGGCCCCCATGTTTTCCTGCACCCGCCCTACCATGGTCTCTCTCTGCAGTTATTTAATGCCTGTGTCAGATCTACTGTAAAAAGAGGATTAAGTAAAATAAAATGAGAGCAATTATATATATAAATATATATCATACACAGAGCCCTGTGTGTGGGTTGTTCCTTTCTGAGCAGTTGGAAGAGCCCAGGGAAGGAGTGGAGGGTGGATCTGGGTGGTCCCAAGGGGATCCCCCAGGCCTTGGAGGCGGCTCCCCAGCTTTGACCTCTTCCTTCCAGTGTCCAAGCATCTACCCCATTCGCCTTGACTAATTTAGTGCACACTATCTTGAGATGACTCCATACAAGACAGGCAGGAAACCTATGTCCCTTTTGTACAGTGATGCTTATGAAGTGCCTACTGTGTACATTCTAGGCACCGTGAGGACACAGTTATGAAAGAGGCAGAGATCCTGCCCCCAAGGAGCTCCCCAGTTTAACAGGAGAGGTGAGGAGCACACGAGAAACTCTCATACAAGGTAGACCTAAACATGCTTCAAGGAAGGGGAGAGAGCCTGTGATGATAAAATTCAGAGCCGCCAACCACTGTCTGTCAGGCACGTTAAAGGGAAGCTTTCTCAGAGGAGGTAGCATTTAAACGGGAGCTTAGAGGAGGGGTGGTTTGGAGAGAAAAGAGCATCAGCAAATGCTCAGAGACAGATGAGAAAAGTTGACTGAAGAAACATGGATGTCAAAGCAATATGGGCCAGGCGCGGTGGCTCATGCCTGTAATCCCAGCACTTTGGGAGGCTGAGGTGGGCAGATCGCCTGAGGTCGGGAGTTCAAGACTAGCCTGGCCAACATAGTGAAACCCCGTCTCTACTAAAAAAAAAAACACAAAATTAGCCGGGCGTGGTGGTGCATGCCTGTAATCCCAGCTACTCGGGATGCTGAGGTAGGAGAATCGCTTGAACCCAGGAGGCGGAGGTTGCAGTGAGCTGAGATCGCGCCATTGCACTCCAGCCTGGGCAACAAGAGCGAAACTCCATCTCAAAAAAAAAAAAAGCAGTATGAACTATATGATCCTAATTTTGTGCAAAGTAAACACACAGGCCGGGTGTGGTGGCTCATGCCTGTAATCCCAGCGCTTTGGGAGGCCAAGGTGGGAGGATCACCTGAGGTCAGGAGTTCAAGACTTGCCTGGCCAACACAGTGAAATCCGTCTCTACTAAAAATAGAAAAAATTAGCCGGGCCTGGTGGCGGATGCCTGTACTCCTAGCTACTCGGGAAGCTGAGGCAGGAGAACTGCTTGAACCCAGGAGGCGGAGGGTTCAGTGAGCTGAGATTGCGCCATTGTACTCCAGCCTGGGTGACAAGAGCGAAACTCCGTCTCAAAAAAATAAATTAATTAATTAAAAAGTACACACACGTAAGCATAGAAAAAAATATATATGACGTTTCTTGTGGTATATGGGGGAGGAGAGGGGCTTATAGTTAATTTTTATTTTCTTCTCGGGGCCTTTTCTCTTTTTGCAATGAATTGGTCTTAGTATTTGTCTTGAAAAATAGCTTTATTACATATGCACACACCTATACACAATTTTATCATGAATGCATAATACACACACGCGAGCGCGCGTGCACACACACACACACCCGTCATCATATAGAAAAGGATCACTGGGTTTTGGTCATTGTTATACCAAAATTGGGTAATATCGTACACACTTTTGCATCTTACTTTTCTCACTCAATAAATATCGTATGTCAGTACTTCCCCTAGCAGAGCTCTAATTCATTTTAAATTTTCTTTCCTTTATTAACTTATTTATTTATTTATGTACTTATTTCTTTCTGAGATGGAGTCTTGCTGTCACCCAGGCTGGAGTGCAGTGGCACAATCTTGGCTCACTGCAACCTCTACCACCCGGGTTCAAGCGATTCTCCCACCTCAGCCTCTCGAGTAGCAGGGATTACAGGCGCCCGCCAGCACACCCAGTTAATGTTTATATTTTTGATAGAGACAGGTTGTGCCATGTTGGCCAGGCTGGTCTCAAACACCTGACCTCGGGTGATCCACCTGCCTTGGCCTCCCAAAGTGTTGGGATTACAGGCGTGAGCCACCTCGCCGGGCCTCCTTGATTTTTTTTTTTTTCCTGAGACGGAGTCTTGCTCTGTCGCCCAGGCTGGAGTGCAGTGACACAATCTCAGCTCACTGCAAGCTCCACCTCCCGGGTTCATGCCATTCTCCTGCTTCAGCCTCCTGAGTAGCTGGGTCTGCAGGGCGCTCGCCACCACGCCTGGCTGATTTTTTGAATCTTTAGTAGAGACAGGCTATCTCTCAGGCCACCACACCCGGCCTGTGTGTTTACTTTGCACAAAATTAGGATCATATAGTTCATACTGCTTTTTTTTTTTTTGAGATGGAGTTTCGCTCTTGTTGCCCAGGCTGGAGTGCAATGGCGCGATCTCAGCTCACTGCAACCTCCGCCTCCTGGGTTCAAGCGATTCTCCTACCTTCTCCGACAGGCTAACAGTAGTGTTAGCCAGGATGGTCTCGATCTCCTGACCTTGTGATCCGCCCACCTTGGCCTCCCAAAGTGCTGGGATTACAGGCGTGAGCCACCGCGTCTGGTCTGTAGTATCTTTTTTTTTTTTGGAGACAGAGTCTCACTTCCTTACCCAGGCTGGAGTGCGGTGGGGCAATCTCAGCTCACTGCAACCTCCACTTTCCAGGTTCATGTGATTCTCATGCCTCAGCCACCAGAGTGGCTGGGATTACAGGCGCACGCCACCATGCCTGGCTAATTTTTGTATTTTTAGTAGAGAAGGGTTTTCACCATGTTGGCCAGACTGGTCTCGAACTCCCGACCTCAAGTGATCTGCCCACCTCGCCCTCCCAAAGTGCTGTGATTACAGGCGTGAGCCACCACGCCCAGCCTAAATTTTTCATAGAGATAGGGTCTTACTATGCTGCTCAGGCTGGTCTCAAACTCTTGGGCTCAAGTGATCCTCCCACCTCAGCTTCCCAAAGTGCTGGGATTATAGGCCTGAGCCACTGTGCCTGGCCAAGGCCCCAGTTTTATTTTTTCAGTTGTGCCAGCTTAATTTATTTTGTTTAC